ATATTTATATTTATATTTATATTTATATTTATATTTTTTATTATTATTCTCATTTTCTTTTTTTCATTTTTATTTTTAATTTTATTTTTATTTTAATTTATATTTATATTTATGTTTATGTTTATGTTTATATTTTTATTTTCATTCATATTTTTACTTTTTTTTTTTATTTCTGTGTTTATACTTATATATATATATATATATTTTTTTTTCAACTTATTACAAACTTTTTGATAATATCTATAAAGCCGAATACCGTCTCGTATTTCCCAAAAGAATTTGCACAGATAGGAGAAAGACGAGCAGCAATCAAATTTTTGTAATATTTTACTATTTGTTTGGTAAAATAAAATTGCCTATTCGGTTGCTGTCTTCAGAAATAATATAAATTATTGGCTTTCTTGACTTAAAAACGCAAGAAACGTTCCTATTCATATATCAAAAACTGCTTGTATTGATTAGGAATTTCCAACTTGTAGAAATGGATACTCATATAGTTAAAATCTCGATGTAAATGTGTAATTTTCAAAATGAAGTCTTCTCAGTTAAAATGAAAGAAGAAGATTCAGAAACAAGGCATTTAGAAGGTAGTGCAATAATTTAAATAATTTGAATTCTCTTTTTTTATTTTTTCCTGTTTAAAATAACTAATATACAGGGAATTTTTGTTGAATTACTAAAAAAATGACTTGAAATTGAATGAAATAATGTATTCTGTCCAGTAAATGTGGTCATCTCTGAAACCACCCGAATGACAGTTGCGATTGTCCGCCGTTGGGAAGACAGCTGATGCCTGCCTGTCTGCAGTGAGTTAGTGCGGTTGCTGGGCGGAGCTTCCAGGTATTGGAACTCCGCCCATCAAGTGCGTTTTGCGTTCCTTTCGTAATGTAAATGAATGCCCACATTTTCGCAGGCAGTTTCTTTTATTGTTATTTTTTAATACATTTTTTTTCCACTTTTATTTGTTTATTTATTGTAGGAATTTATTACATTTATATATACAGAGCAATATTACTGATAGGTCGCAAATTACCGTCATCACCGAAACTTCGTTTGTTGTTTTCTGTTGGTGACAGAACTGAAGACGATTAGCACTATTTTCGCTTTTGAAACCCCTTGCAAATGAGTGTAGATAACCTAGTAGCGCTACGGTAATGATTCATTTGAGGGAAGTAATCGGATACGACTTTAGTTAAACAGGAAAGTGTCGGTTAATGTGATTTGTTATTATGATGAAAACTGAATCAGTGAAATTTCTTTTCAACTGCCACCACAATTACAGGAGTTTTATAGTATTTTCAACCGCATTTTTTCCTTTTGATGCAAGTTGTAGTCTATGATCGCACATGCGGTATTCCATTATTTTTTTCATTTAAATAATTGATTGAAAAATTCAGATACGATTATTAATTGTCAGCTATTATCGACACTATCGATTGCTCCACCAGTGTATCCATTTGCTTGACAACCAACTGTAGTAGCAATTCTGATTGTTTTCATTCCTTGGCAACAACCATACACATTGTAAAACAAAGCAGTTCTGGGCACAAATATTTGTAAGAAGAAGAATCACTGAACTGTATACGTAAACTATCGGTTTCAGTTTTTCTGCTGACTGAACAGCGCAAATTGCCAAAAATCTGTTGGAAGAATCATTTTTTTCCCCTGCTGTAGTTATTTTTTCTTGTCTTAATATAATGGAGACAACGAAACGCAAAAAGCCTTCATTCATCTGAGCATTTAAAACTGTTGAACAGTGAAATGCACTTTTTTGACTCTTTTTTCTTCTGCATAGTAATATATTTGCAGCTGAATCTAAAAATTTTTAAAGTCAATTTTAGATTGCAAACTTTCTTCACAGCTGATTGACGGTTTACAAAACGTAAAACTTTTAAATTTTTCAAATCTCTTCTATTTCTACTTTTGTTTATCTCTCATTTATGTACCTAATATAAACATTTCAATAACGTCAACATTTTGAAAAAAGCAACTGTAAAAATTGCTTCCAATTTTTATCCTAAATCGATGGAGTGTTACGGTAAACGTTATTTGGTGCTTTGATCTTCAACGGTTTATTTATTACAAAAGTTACTCAACTTATTTTTAAGATCAGAAGTCTTTTTAGCGAGTTTTTTTAACTTTTGATAGAGGTTGTTAATAGTTTTTTCAGTTCTTTTTTCAAAAAAGGAAAGAAGTTATTCTCAAATAAAATCATAACTGTAAGAAAATTAATTTTGAAAAAACTTAAGCTGGTTGTAATGCTGAAAGTTTCTCTGTGATTTTATTACCTACTTTTTTCCCCTAAAAATTGTAGAATGTCAATCAAATATATTTTTTTCTTGCATTTGAGACACAAAAAGTTTCCTCAGTTGTTTTACAAATTGTTTATTTGATGATCAAATTTCCATGTTTTTTAATCTAGTTCTTCTCCTTCTTCCTTACACACTTATTTTCTACTCTATTTGGTTTTGTATAATTTTTTTGAGAAGATGACTAAGTTGTTTTTATGAGCTTAATTGTTGTTGTAAAATCAAAATTACATCATTATTTTTTGTTTCTAGAGATTCAGTCTGTAGCTTTAACAAATATATTTTATATTTCAAATATTCAAATTTTTTTACAGACTTTTGGCGTTCTCTATGCAAATTATAAACAAATTCTGTTACAGTTAGTTTTTTTCTTAATCGTATTTGTCTAACTGATTGGAAGTGAAGCAACTTATTTATTTCATTAATGGCTGAAGAATCGTTGAAGATTTGTTCAATTTTTTCATTCTGCAGCTCTGTTTTTCTTGTTTTCGATGTACGCTAAAGATACGTGTCAAACAAGCAAAAAAAAATTACAAACTGGTTGGTACAGAAAATAATATTTTAGGTCCTATGCATCATCTGCCAACTACAAGATTAACTTTTTGTGCTGAAAGCAGTATTGTAACATAGAGCTGTACAGTTGAGGAGCGAAAAACTTTGGACTATCAAAAATGGTTGATTCTAAGGCTACCTTACAAATTCCAGGCTTTGTTCTGGTATTTATTGGAGCAATTTTGAACTTTATTGCTTTGGCAACTCCTGCCTGGCAGGTTTGTTTTCTTTTTTTGATTTTTTCGACTATTTCTAATTTTGAAGATCTGAAAGAACGTTTGAAGAGCATAAATTTGCAGATGTTTTTTCAATTGAGCACTGAACTATTTTTTCAATTTTTATTTTTCTTCTTGCAAGATTTGCTATATTGACTGTTGAAGGTCTTTTTCTCATTATTTGTTAGATTACAGGTGGTTTACGCCAGAGAACTTCAACAATGGGTCAGTAATGGTTTATGGATGAACTGTCTCACCAGGTGAGCTATAGGGATCTGTTTTTAAAATCCATTTACTAATAGATGTAATGTGGAAGCAGTACTTATAAGTGGTATATTTATTATAAAGTTTGAGGAGTATTAAGGGTTGCTGTAATGAACAGTGATTTAACAGCGTCTGCTGCAGTTATTAGCAAAATCATACATGAAAAATAGAGTTATAGTACTATGTCTCTGTTTAGTTATAGTACTATATCTCTATTTGTTTCTCTTGGTAATAATTTAGGTTGCGGTTATCTTTCTGACCATAAAAAATATTTATTGGCTCAAGTCAAAGTCTGTTTTCTGTACGTAATAAGCGAAGGCCGCTCACCTTGAAATCTTCTAGCGTTAAGTAAATAATTACCCTTGATAGAAGATTGATAAGCTGTCGACATGCTAATCCTTCATTAGTTTGCCAGTAAATGGAGAAAAACAGTGACTTTAGCAGATTTTTTTTTGCTGAGGAATTGACTGACAGTCACAGAATTTTAATTGGAAGAGGCGAATAAATTAACAGTCACTGAAATTTATAGTTTTACTTTATGGACAGCTGCTCCTTACAGCTTGCCACTTCTCCAACAAGTTTTGAACGAACACTGATAGCGTCACAAGTGTGTGTTTTCTTAAATTTAAGCTAGTTGAGGCGATTTTTCAAAGTCTTTAATTTTTAATATGGGATTTGGCAGGTGTTTCAGAAATTGCAGAATTTTGGGCATTTTTTGTAAGGTATTTTGCTTGCAACTAAAGTCAGGTGAAGTTCAATCGGATTTAGAAGTATCCGCATCACGAAGAGTGATATTGTATCATGTAATTTTTTAAAAAAAAGGCACATTTTTATGCAATATTCCAAGTGACTTACTTAGGCCATCGGGAATGCTTTCCTGCACTTACACATTCACGAAGGGAGACCTTGACTTCTACACAAGTGCCGAAGTCGTTAATATTCGAACGCCAGCATTTTTTGGTAGGAACCTAAAACTGAAAACTTGATCAATTTCATAGGCTTATAGTACGCTTTTTTTGAAATAAAGAATCTGTCAGAACTGCAGTAATTGATAGCACGAAAAATAGAATTGCTTTGCAGAGTGGCAACATCATTTATTGTATGTGATCCTAATTGGGCAACTTTTCGCCTTCTTTGCTATGATATCCTTTTGCATATCACAGGCTATTACTGTTAGAGCTAAGGCTGCTTTATTTTTCTGTATATTCAATGCTTTTGCAGGTTTGGATTCCAAATTTGTCCTTTACTTTCTTAACAACTTTTCAGGTGTCTGCAGCTCTTATTTTTTGATTTATTGAAGTCATTTGTTTGAAGCATATTGGTGAAGGTTTAAATTTTTTCCTGATTAGTGATTCTCTGAAAAATAAAATAGTTTTTCAGCGCTTATAAACTTAGGAGCCAATATTGCCTTTCAAATTTATGCTCATATGGTGGAGTACCGTTTTTATCACGTTAGTGTCAGTGGTATTTACGAGGTAAAGTTTTTACAATACTTTCCTAATTGAGGACTTCATTCAATGTAAATACGATAACATGAGTTTCGTAGAGGTTTTTGTACCTGTGTGTATTGATTAAAATAGCTCATTTAAGCTAAGCTAGATGTTTTTTGGAAAGCAACGAAAGAACTAGATTGGAGTTCAAAGAATGAATTTAATTTAACTGTACAGCATTTTAAGAAAATATAAATTTGTTTAAAGTAAGTAGAATAATGTTATCTGTCTAAATGAGGTAAGTTTTTTAAACTTTGCTGCGAATACAAGGGACTTTTTATTGTTTTTTTTTTCATTTTTTTTTTATTTTTTTTTTCATTTTTTCATTTTTTTTTCATTCATTTTCAGAAGCATATTGGATATTCGTACTTTCTACATTTGATCGGTTCGCTGATCATCTTACTTGGTTTTCTGCTCTCGTTAGCCTATGTTATTACACTTCGCATAAGCTCTCAAACTCATCTGGAAAATGATTTGTCGTTTTTACCTTATCAGGTATTCTGTTCTGTAAAATAAATAGACTTTTTTACTGCACATTTCAAAAAAGGCAATTTTTTCAATTTAAAAACTTCTAAAGCCGGTTTGGTTTCTACAGGATATTACTACAAAGAATATGTGAAAGATAGCTAATTGTTAAGAAATTTTGAAAATTCAGAATTTATGATATAATGCTTTGGTGTTTTTCTTTAATTATATTGTCTTCTCCTTTTCTAAAAAAAGAAATAATAATAAATTAAATTAAAAAAAAATAAAAAAGTTTACACAGATTAAATTAAAAAATATATCTTTGTACTGTCAAAAGATCAGTGCTGAACAATGAGGTTGATGTGAACAAGTTATTTTTTCTGCATTTATGAATAGAAGGGTTTATGTTACTGTACAAATGATTTCAGAGGGAGTTTCGAGATCCTCAAGAGGATTTATTTGCTATGAGAGCGCTGCCTGCTTTACCTCAGAAATACCGCTAATTATGAAAAGTCTTATTTAGTTAATTCTTTTGTTAATTCTTCTTCTCTTTGTGCCTTTGATGTAGTCTTCGATATGATCGTTTTACAGCTATACATATCACAGAATGAATAAAGATCTGATGAACGGTCAGCAAATTTGTTTGATAATTTTATTTTTGCGATAAATTTTTCAACCTGATGTTCATAAATCTCATTGTCTTCAAGTTGTAAGCGCTCTATGAATTGTGGTACAGCATTTTATAATGATTCTTTTAAGGCAAAAAATTCAGAAAAAGTTACCAATAAAAAGATACAATTATTTTAGACAAAAAATTTATAATTAAAAAAGTCAACAGTAGTTTTTAAAGATTTATTACACTATAATATTATATTTTCAAATGAATAATCTTTATCTTTCTTTATAAACGTTGTAAAAAAAAGTTATACATTATTTTTTGTTACGTAACTGGTATATCACTTTTGATGCATATGGTGGTTTTAATGTTTTGCTCAGTAATCATGTGTGATTGTTCTCTTTCTAAACTGCTAACTTTTTACTTGCATCTTCTGCGCTTTATTTGCAGAACATTCTTTTGATTTATCAATTATTTCTGTCGTTATAAAGCACTTAGAAGTAGTATAATTTGAAAATAACAAGAAGTGCTGTTCACTGAACATTGAGCTCTGTCAAAAAAGTTGTTTAACTTCTTGAAACGCTTCTCAGTGAACCGTTGATCCTGAAAAGAAATTTAAAATTTTATCTCTTTATGTGTAATTTCTATCACGGCTAATGATAATAAACATACCGAGTCAGATGACAGTACTAAAAGAGTAGGAATTGAACAGAAACAACGCGGGAAAGCAATAGGCGTAACAGTTATTTATTAAAGTATTTCCGGCTTTAAAATGAAACATTTTCCTCTCCATTATTAGCACCGTTTTGTTGATGCTTTGTAGACTGGCAGGTTAACCGAAAATCTTAATGCTCAGCTACTGTTGGCAAATTATTGGTGGGTATATACAAGAAGATCAAGGTCAATCTTAGAACACTTGTACAAAGATCAAACATTGCATATATTGATTTGATGTCGCCAATGGAACAAATTCTTCATTCTTTGAATTACTCTTAACTAACGAGCTTCTTCCTTCCTACAACCCGGAAAATACACCTATTACTGATTTAAATAATGATCTTTTTCTTTGGTAATTCCACTTTTATAGTAATGCACATTTTGAGCAGAGGTCGCTGTAAATAGGTATATGTTGGAAAACCTATGCAGGCCAAAATCGGATATACACCTCACTGATATGCAGATATCACAATGGGACATCTAAACCGACGCGAATTTGGCGAATGATCAAGAGGACATGTTTTATTGTCATACTTTTTTACTTCATACGGCTGTTATAATAACAGGCAGCATACACCTCAACAAGAGTATTCATGCTACTTTCCAATTTGGTCCTGCTTATGTTTTCCTACAAAATTTCAGGATACTGTAAGATGTTTGTAGAAACAGCATATAGTGACTTTAAAAGTAGCGGTTATTTAATCTTGTAACTAAAAAATTAATAGTTCTGTCATTTTACTTTTATTTATTTATTTGTTCTGAGATGTCTGAATAAATATATAAAACTTATAAACTATCACTGTAAAAACATGTTTGAGGAAAAAAAAAACAGAGTAATAATCAATAAAAGGCTAAAAATTTCGCATAATTTTTTTTCAGATTAAGGGTTATAGACCTAAAATGTCATATGATAGATCGATTAACTGCAAAACCATTAGATGGGTGAAACAATGCGCTGAAAGTACATTTATGTTCACTCATTTTATTTCTTTTTCAATTAATGCCTAAATTTTTTAATCTGAGTTACGAGAGCACATATTTCGCTATTAACCCAAAAAGAAAATATTACCCTTCCTCCTCCCAAAAAAAAATAATAAAGTTTAACACTGGTATTATAGGTAGACAGACAATTACAATTTTGTTGCCAATTAGTTGTATTTGAAACTAATAATGCACATAATTAAGTAATATTTTTTATTTCAGAAGCTGTTTATCTCTTTTAAACGACTAACCGCTTTCATTTAATGTTTTTTTTTTCTAGAACAGTAATTAAACTTAAGAACTAAATATTCTGTTGTAACTGAAAATAAAAAAGAAATTCAACGTAATAATTGGTTCAAAATTTAATTCACTGGGTTTTAGCTGCCTGCCAGTCTTTCTTCTCAACTTAACTTCGAATTCAGAAGGAAAAACCAGTTTGACAGCCTGAAACGGTTGCCAAAAGTTGTTATAAATGGGAAAAACCTGTTAAAGCACATCATAAAAGCCGAAAAAACTGTGAACGCTTTTAATTGCAAAATAAGTGTTAATCGACAAAAGGCCCCTTGTCACTCGTTAAAAATGAGGAGTTTGAGAACGGTTTTACTGTACCATATCTCAACACAAATCTTTGTACTCGATGCGCGTGGAAAGTCCACAAACAGTCTGTTTTATGACAGAACAAGAGGAAGCAATAGGTTATTCACAATATTTCACTACAGCCACTAATATCATGTAATTACGCCACCTCACCATACGTTCACGGGATTTGAGTAGCATCAAAGAAGAGAAGAAGGAAGACAAAAATTAAAGTAATTTTCAAATTTGTCCGGTTACATACAATCATTGTCGCCAAATAATAATAGTTTTTGGAACGGCTTTGCGTTATGGGCGGCAGCAGCAGCACCAACGCCAGCAGCAACAACGACATAGACATCGGCCTTGGACAAGGTTTTGCGATCTTATTGGCGGCCGGGTAGGTACTACTTGGACACAGCCACCGTCGTCAACGTCACACCGTCACCGCAGTCAGCCAACAGGCATTTTCGTTGTTCCATAAATTTCTACCTGCTCTCACCTCACCGCTACATCCTCCACTAACACCCATCAAATTTTTGATCCTTGTAGATAACAGTAACACTTCTAGAAGTGTGATATATTTAGAATTTTGTGCTTTTGTAAATTTTTACACCGTAGGAATCCACTTTCTGGTTTGGAAATAACAAATTTTTTAAATCCTTTTTCTACCAATTTTCATTGATCATTCAACATAATTCTTTTTTATGTATTTCTCTACTTGTGCGTGCCTTAATGGAACAAATAATCGGCAATCAAAAACAGTAGTGACTTTTATAAAATCCCCAACTTTTCTTTCGTCATGTTTATTTTTTCCTATTGCACCGATAGAAGAAGAAACATATAACAACGCAACAACAGCAACAACGAAAGCAAAAAGCAACCTTGTAGATGGCAATAGATTGGTCTAGTCGTGTGGTGCGAACGCAGTTAACCTGCTTTGTCCTGTTATGTTTCTGTCTTCTGCTGATGCTGATAGCAACTTTAACACCAGCGTGGCAGGTAAGAACCTTTAAAAAAATTTTGTTCTCTTCTTTTGAAATTTTTATTTTTGTTAATGATAATGTTCTGACATAAAAAATTGTTCTATAATAAAATACTCTGAAGCTGCTGTTAGACAAAGCTGATGAATTAGTCGTATTAATAACTCGAGTCTTATCCATATATGAATCATTCCATTAACACTATGACTTTTAAAATTTCGGAAATTTTTTTTTACCATTATGCCGAGTAATAATCGATATCATATGTACTTGCCAGTTCTTTTTGATTAGAGGTTTCTATTTTTTTTTTACTGGTGATCAGAATGTTGCTGTAAACGTCAGCCTCTACAGTGCAGCGCTGTTTTTCACTTTGCAAAGATCCCAGGACTTCTGCGCAATAAAAAATTATTGTTTTCAAATTGTTTGCCTTAATCGTTTAGAACGATCATATGACGTCGCCTTGTTTTCCAACGAAATTTTTTTTATTTCGAATGAACATGAGAGGAAGAAGTCAAAATTTATTGTTTTAGTCTCAATTGCATTTTAAAACGTCAGTCGAGGGACGGTTATATAAAATACTCTACAGTTAGGCTACTTTTTCGCTGACGTACTTGGAAGAACTTTTTTGTTTTGAAAACACCGTATTATCTTAATTTATTAAAACTTGTTTAGTTACTCTTGTATCAAACCGGATTAGTGTGATCCTCATCACAGCAGCAATAAATACTTAATAATTCATTCACCAGAGTTTCAATACGAATGTGACCTGAAGTATTAACAATAGCATGTTTCAATTTCTACCACATTTGCGGCAATATAATTAAAAGGTCAAAATTTGCTTTAGGTGGCTGATGATGTGGATGCAAATCAGTATGTTCAAAGTGGTCTTTGGATGTACTGTCCAGGATCAGCCCAATGTTGGTACATATTCAACGATGACGCTGTGAACTTTTATGAGAAAACTAAAGTGTGTCGGTTTTTCCTGTTTGGAGACTGTCGTAAAAAATTGGTTCGAACACCTTACTTCTTTAGTGAGTTACAAAACTTCCAAATACATTACAACTTAAGTATTTTTAGCCCTACAAATAATGCTTCTGCAAACTAATTAATGTCTGACAAGCACAGTATTTTTTCCTGGCAACGCTTGTCAAATAAATTTTTGGTTTTGTTACCGTTTCATTGCGAAAGAAAATGAAAAATAAGATAGTGAAAATTACTGGTAATCTGCCATTTATTATTAAGATTAATCAAATTTTTTAGGTTGGCATAAAGCTGTATTTATAGTGATGCTGTTTGCACTTGTTTTTGGTCTGATATCGGCTATTATTCTAGCAATAAGTTTGTTTGGCAGAAAGCTCGTTCAGACGTCAACAATCCTCTTTAATATCTTAACGTTCTTAACATGTAAAGTTCTTCTCAGTGTTATTATTGAACCACCTGTTAATTCTGTGGAATTCAGCTAACTTTTTTACTTACAGTTTTGCTAGTATCAATTGGACTGGCCGTATTTGTGACTAATGCAGAAATGTTAGAATCAAAATACCACATTGGTGTCAAACAGACGTTTAGGGTATGCTGCTACCGCGGTTTAATAATGGTTTTCCACAGTTTTTCCTCAAGTTGAGAACTGTCACTAAAAACTAATCAGTTAGCTAATTACAAGGAATAAAATGCGCAGATTTGAAGTAGCACTTTCGTATTCTCAGTGGTTGGGTTTTTGAGAAACTACTTAAAATTATCAGGATTTACACGACTCACACTCATTTTATTTTTCTAAAGCACTAGTTAACTTTCAATACTAAAATTGAAGTTTTACGCGGTGAGGACACTTTCACAGTTGAAAAATGGTGTCAAACGCTTTTCCAATCAAACAATTTTACCCGTTTTCAGAAAGAATATGGTTATTCGTTTTATGTGGCTGGAATTTCGGTACTTTTTCTGCTCTTTTCACTTTTGGGAGGTATTACTCTTGTTACTTATGTATTCTTCTCACGCGAAAAACATGACCACAGTGCATTACCTGGAATGGAGGACGATGAAATGGAGTGGAAAAGAAGAAATTTTATTGAACGTATGCAGGTAAAGTGAAATATCGCCACTGTTAAGTTGATCTTATGTCTAATGAAGTCAGCTTATTATAGTCTGTAAATCTAATTTTAATTCTTTCTAAGCTTTTGAAAAGAAAGTAAAGTAACTTCAATGGGAAATGTATTTGCCGCGCGACTTTGCAAAGTAAACAACGAAAAACGCAAAAAAAATTTCTAATTTTTTTTCCTTTTTCAATAACAAAAATTTCATATGTTTTAATTTAAAGAACAAATCAAGCACTTTGTTACTGTTACAGCTGATATATTTACAAAGTTTTTTTAGCCGTTCATTGTTCTCGTCTTATGAAGATTTTGCTACAGTTGAGAGCAAATTTACACAACTTTTTACTGCAACTTTCCTTCACTCATTTCAAACAATGCGTAAAATTGAAAGCTCTTTCTTACGAGCTTTTCTAAGCGAGTAGTTACAGTTGCAGGAACCAGAACCGCAGTTTGATCAACCGATTTCTGAATATAGTTTTCCTGTCTTAGAACAACAACTGTTTGACCATCCTCCAAGACCAGGAAGTCTGATGAACACGCACACAATCATTTCACAACACGATCCTGAATTTCGACAGCCTTCTAGAATTTTTGAAAGCTGCTATTGATACTTCTGGGGACTCACAAATTCTTGTTACTCTGTCTTTTCCTTCGTTAATGAACCAATTTTTACGTAACAGCAAATAAAAAACATTTTTCTTATTCTAAAAACTAGGGAAAAAAGACGCCTATAAGGGCAATT